TACTGATATGCGGCAACACGACCTGCGACAAAGACCAGCGAGCTGAGGATGCGACCGAATCTGCGAGGTCTGCGGATTCTCTAAACAGACAGGAATGCGGGCGGCGAGGCAAGCACGAATTATAGTGCTAGTCGCACGCACCGTGGCATTCCCGGCAGCCACTCGGGCCTGCTCTGGGAGGTTGGGTAGCCCAAGCGGATGGCTGTCAGACCTGAGCGGGCGCCGCAAAGCGCGCGTCCAGCTGGTGCATGGGGCGCCCAGCCAGACCGCGCCAACGGCCCGAGATCGGATCCAGCCCACGACGGTGGCGACGAATGCTGGCAGCACGTGATCCTCCAGCGGGCTGCGCTGCCAGTCAAGTCCGAAGGCGGCGAGACCGCAGGCGAGCACCGCCTTAGCAATCGCGCCAGCCCCGCAGAAGAGCACTAGAACAGGGCGGCGCCGCAGGGCGCGGCCAGGCGCTGCCGCGCGCCGGCACTGCCGCTGCAAAAGCCGCGTCACTGCGTCCGCCGGCGGGCCGCCCTTGTCGGGGCGAGCAGCGCTGCCGCCGGCGGCCTGAGGGCCGCCCGCCCTTCCGAGCGACCGCGCTGGGAGGTGGGCGCCGGCGCCCTGCGCAAGGCTGCGACGACGGCCCGGACGAGGCCAGTCGCCGGCCAGCCGGGCAGGCGGTCGCTGACCCGCGCCACGAGGCCGCTCTCGACAAAGGCCCTGAGCTCCATGACCTCTGGCGGGAACAATTATCCCGGCAAAGCAACCTAACAGCGATGTGTAGGAGCATATCTGGAAGCATTCCCCTTAAGATTCAAATGAGAATCCAGTTGTAGGATTGTGCTGTTCTCGCAGTCGTAGTCGCATTCGCGATGACAGTCGCAGTGGCAACGGCAGTCGCAGACACAGCCTCAGCCCCAGCCTGCCTCAGCCTCAGCCTCAGCCTGCCTCAGCCTCAGCCTGCCTCAGCCTCAGCCTCAGCCTGCTTCAGCCTCAGCCTCAGTCTGCCTTCAGCCTCGGCGTCAGCCTCAGGCTGCCTCAGCCTCAGCCTGCATCAGCCTCAGCCTCAGCCTCAGCCTGCCTCAGCATCAGCCTGCCTCAGCCTCAGCCTCAGCCTGCCTCAGCATTCAAAATGTGGCCCGGGAATGGAGTTCTGGGAACTCGAAGAACACGAAGTGGCCTACAGTTGGCTCCGGGCATTCAAAATCATGCCCAGGAATGGAGTTCTGGGAACTCGAAAACCACGAAGTGGCCTACAGTTGGCTCCGGGCATCCAAAATCTGGCCCGGGAATGGAGTTGTGGGAACTCGAAGACCACGAAGTGGCCTACAGTTGGCTCCGGGCATCCAAAATCTGGCCCGGGAATGGATTTCTGGGAACTCGAAGAACACGAAGTGGCTTACAATTGGCTCCGGGCATTCAAAATGTGGCCCAGGAATGGAGTTCTGGGACTCGAAGACCACGAAGTGGCCTACAGTTGGCTCCGGGCATTCAAAATGTGGCCCGGGAATGGAGTTCTGGGAAGTCGAAGACACGAAGTGGCCTACAGTTGGCTCCGGGCATTCAGAATGTGGCCCGGGAATGGAGTTCTGGGAGGTCGAAGAGCACGAAGTGTGTGACTGTTGGCTTAAAACGACTTCTGCGGCACCCTGTCCGGCACCCGCCCAGACCCCCTGTGGAGTCATCTGCTGCTCTCTTTTGACCCTACTAGAAACCTATCAGAACAAGCTGTTAGGTAAAAAGATCCCGTCCAAGAGCTTGGTCCCCCTGGCGTAGCGGTTCAGGCTCTTGGCAGTCCGCCGGCGCCATCGCCGCTGAGTCTCGGCCCGCAGACGCCGCAGGGAGAGCCTGTCGTTCGAGGCATCTCCATGGCGCAGGCTGCACAGGGGGGGCGAAGGCGATCCAGCGACAGCCGCCGACCCGCGAAGCTGAACAACGGGCCGAGGCGACTCTCCTCCTGTCCCCGCAGCGGCTCCGAAGGCGTAGTCGACAAGCTCAGAGCCGGCAGTAAAGGGGGGAGAAGAGGCCCGCGGTCGAACACGATGCTCTCGTCGCTCACGCCCGCCCTGCCTGGCCCCCGTCCGCCCTCGCGCGGGAGCAGCCCGGGGAACTGGTAGCCGGGGCCCGCCGCCACGGACAGCGCGACGAGGTGGCGACCGTAGAGCTTCGCCGCCTCCCCGCGCCTGAATTGCGAGGCGAACGTGGCGAGGGCGCAGAGGGCCAGCCAGGGGGGGCCGTCGTGGATCAGGAGGCCGGCCAAGGCGGACGCCACGCGGCGCGGCAGCAGCCATCGGGGCCAGGCCGATGCGCGCCGCGACCACGCCGCGGCGTCTCGAGGGGCCCTCGCCAGCAGCACGAGGGTCCGCATGTCGAAGGACCCGAGGAGGTGCACCACCGACGCCAAGAGAGCGCCCCCCTGGTTGCCGACGCTGCCGATGAGGAACTCGTTGTCCATGAACTCCACCAGCGCCTGGTCCAGGATCGCATGGCTCGCCCCATCCAGGCGGCGCCCTGCGCCACGCACGAAGATCTGGGACAAGGCCAGCAGCGACACGAGGAGCCGCATGCGCCGGCAGCCCGCCCCCGCCCCCAGGGGGCCGCGGGGCCGTCCGGCTGCCCGAGAACCAGCCAGCGCGCCCACGGCTGTGCGCGTCTGCGGGGTTGGACTCGGAGGGAACCCACCGCGCTGAAAGGGTTGAGCCAGAGGCCGCGGAGAGGGCGCGGACCTTGCGACGCGTGCTCTGCAGATGCCTGGTGCGGGCCCGGCCCTTACATTACCCACGGACAAGACCAGAGGCAAGTTGTCGGACAGGAGTAGGAAGCGGGACCCGAACGCATATGTGGACCGAAGGAGGCGCCGATGCCCGAGCACGAGAGCTTCCCCCTCGAGGGCCAGGATGTTGGCCCTTCCCTCGACGTACACCGCGGCAACCGAGCCCCAGGCAGGACCCCGAACGAAATGAGCTGGAACCGCAACGACTTCCACGGCAGGTCGCATGTCCAGGATCGACTTGTCGGAATCCCCGAAAGGCCCTGGCGACTGCAGCTCCAACGGGCCCACGCGGGCCCCGTCCTGAACATCCACGAACGACGAGTAGTCATCGATCCCATCACCAGGTACTCGAGCGCCATCCCCGAGATCAGCGACGACGTCCCCGAGCGGCACGGACGAAACACCGAGGTCGAGCCCGACCGTCCTACTTCTTGCTTGAGCTCCGCCCTCGACCATATATCTCCACTTTTCGGCGACTCTACCGATGGCGCCCACGAGGTCATGCGAGGCGCGGCGAGCAACCGCGCCCAGCCGAAACGGCGAGGCGCCCGCGCAAGCAACTCGCCCATGCCACGTTGCGCCAAGGTCAGCCGTGCACAGCGGCAGCAGGTCGTGAACAAGCTGAAACTCACGCCGGACGGTGGGCCACAGCGGGGCAACCGTCGGCCCGGCGGCATCGATGTTGGCGTAGGTCGCACCCAAAATGCACAGTAGCTCCCTCCGCAGCAGCAGCGCCCACGTAATGTGGCCCGTCAGCGCGCGGAGAAGGAAGCCGCTGATGACCTGCCTCCGGAGCGCAGCACGGATGGCGGCGCGTAACCTCCAGACATTGCGGGCCCTGAGGCTATGCCAGCGCCTCTCGCGCAACGACAGCCCCAAGAAGTCGCGGTCCTGAGAGGGCGCCTCGAGCTCGTGCGCCGCGAGCCCGTGGCGCCCACGACAGAGTCAGGGTCGTCGGCGAGCAGCTGGCAGCCGCAGTGGCCGCCGAGGATCAGATCGCCCGGCGAGAAGCCAGCGCGACCCAAAGAAGTCTGAAGGACCGCCTGGCACAGATGCAACGCCCAGCTGAGCACCATCGGCAGCACCACCACCTGAGACAGCAAGAGCGACTCACCGTTCACTCCCGCCACTGTGATTCCGTGAGGCGCGAGATACTTGGCGGAGATTGGCGGCAACGTGAAATGCTCCCCCATGCTGTCAGGGACCCGCATGAGGTAGAAGGCCAGGTCGAGGTCCGCCGAAGCGATGGGGAACCGAACGTCGCCCGCCTCGAGCCGCCCCCAGGCTGACGCCGACGGCAGCTGGGCGCGGGGCGCGTCGATGAACGCGCAGTTGGCCAGGCGCGCGTCGAAGATGACTCTGAGCTGACCACTCTTCTTCGGCGCGAATAATATGCCCATGTTGCCCCGACGCCCTCGCGAAGGGAAAACGTGAGCACGCTGCGCTCCACCATGGCTCTGAGGAAAGCGGCGTCGTCCAGCGGCGACCGGACCCTGCGGGCAGGCCTCTGCACGAAGCTGCCGCGCCTCGCCGGGCCCACGAAGCATTTGCCACCTCCACTCCCGCAGCGCGGCGGAGTCTCGCTCGCCCAGCAGCCCAGGGAGCGGCGCGCGGCGCGGGAGGCTGCGATACGTCCGGCCACGAGACGAGGTCTGGCACGTAGGGAGCGGCAGGCCCGCCGCCGTCAGGGCACAGCGCGGACCCAGCAAGGAGCTCCCGAAGGGCCTCGTTGGGGTCTGAGACATCGCCACGGCGCGCCTCCGGCTCCGGGCCGAGGGCGACGATGGAATCGAAGATGCGAGCGGCGGCGCATCGCTGCCCGACAGACGGCGTCGGCGCGGGGGAGGACTGGTCGCCGCAAGGGTAATTCAAGGCGTGCGCGGCGGCGCTGGCACGACCGAGCGCGCGCGCGAAGGCATGACAGGCTCGAACTCGCCGCCGAGCCCCCGACGACCCAGGCGCCACGTCCGCCGCGGCCAGCAGCGGCAGGGGGAAGAAGTCCCGATGTCGGTCCTCGTCCGGCGGGCGGCGCCCAGCGTCGCTAGGGGAACGGGTCGCACTGGTGGCAGGGCCCGCGGTGGCAGAGCGGGGCAGGGGCGGCGGCTGGCCGGGCCATCCGCCCCGGGGCAGGTCAGACATTGGCCCCGGCGGTGATGGGCGAGAAGCCCCGGCCGCCGCGGCCGCCCTGTCGCCCCCTCCAGCGCCCTGTGCCCATCTCCCGCTGCAGCTCCTCCTGCGCCTGCGCCAAACGAGCCGCGAGCTCCAGGTGCCCCAAGTTCGCGAGGAGAACCAGGTCGTAGGCGACAGCCGACTCTGTGACCATGCGCCCGATCTGGTAGATCTCCACGCCGTGGGACTCTGGGCTGAGCCCCATCTTGGCCGGCCACTGCTGGTGATGAGCAGTCGGAGTCACCGGCCGCTGCGCCATATACTGCATCAACCTCAGCAGCGCGCGAGGCTCGCGCACTCGCAGCTCAGGCCCTGGGGGCCCGACCATCAGTGCCACCATGCCGCGGAAGTCAGCGTGCAAGACACCTCGTACATCCCTCGCGATGGCGAAGAGGTGGGCGTCGTCGCCAGGACTGGCGGGCGGCGGCCCCGCTCTCAGGCTCGCGGGCGCGGGCCCCTCAGCGAGGGGGCCAGCGGCGGGGGCCGCGGCAGCCCCCGGCGCGGCCGGCGCCGCGGGCAGCGCGGCGGGCCCAACAGGCGCCACGAGAGCACCCTCAGCCCTGGGGGCAGCAGGGGCGCAGGCGGCAGCAGCCGCGGCTGGGGCATGCGCCGGCGCGGGCGCGCCTCTGCAGCAGCACCGCAGGCCTGACCCCCGAGCGCGACCCAAGCGCCGCGGCCGCCCGCCTCTGGGCCAGGGGCATCGCCAGGCCGCGCGGCCAGGGCAGCCGCCGCCGCCGCCGCTGCAGCCACCCTGCCCGCAACGCTGGGCACCACGGCCCCTGCGGCCGCACCCGGGCCCTGGCGGGAGCAGGCGCGGCCAGCGGCGGCCGCCCGCGCGGCCGCCGTGGGGGTGGCCCTGAATCGGTAGTCCGTCGTACGAGTCGCCATCCACCGTGATGATCGAAGCGGCGCTAGGGGCGGCGGGGCTCGAGGCCGCGACGATGCGCTCGTGGGTGAGGGCCGCCCGCACGACGCCGCGCTGCCCCCCGACGAAGCACCCGGCCGCCGCGCCCACCGCCGCGAGCGAGAGATGCGCCAGAGAACCAGGCGCCGCCATCACTGCAACGCGAAGGAACGCCCACGAAGCGCCCTCACCTGCGCGTGGGCCCCCTCGCTCCACCCGTCTGGCTCCAGCTCGACGGCGGACGAGCCCGCGTGAAGGCTGCGGGGGCGGAGGGCCCCCCGGCCGCCCGCAGCGCCGGCGAGGGCGCCAGCGATGGCCGCACACACCGCGCAGATCACCAGCCTGGCGGTGGAGGGGCCCGCCCTGGCGTCAGCCCGCGGCCCCGAGCAGTCACAACTCAGTATCGGGGCGCTGCAGGGTGGCCTCGCAAGCGCACGCTGAACGTTGAACGAACGGCTGGGTCGCCCCGCGCAGCCCAGACGGCGACGCCCGCGCCGATGCTGCGCCCCAGCTCCAGCACCCCAGCGCGCTGCGGGCGGAGAGCGCGGACGCGGTGCGCCGGGCCCCCGAAAACTAAGAGCCGAATTATGAGTGCGTCGGACCTCGGCCTCTGCTCAGCACTCAGTTGTGAAAACTACCATATATATACATATATATGTGTATATGTGTCATTTGTTTTTTTTGTTTGTTCCCTCTCTCTCTCTCTCTCTCTCTCTCTCTCTCTCTCTCTCTCTCTTTCTCTCTCTTTCTTCCCCTTCTCCTCTCTCGCTCTCTCGCTCGCTCGCTTGCCCCCGCCCCCCCCCCCGCCCCCGCCCCCCCCCCCCCCCCCCCTGCCCCCTTATAACAGTATCCCTTTCTCTTACTATCTCACTTAATTCTTGATGTATATTTGTTTGTTCTCTCTCTCTCTCTCTCTCTCTCTCTCTCTCTCTCTTTCTCTTCCCCTCTCTATATATCTCTCTCTTTCTCCCTCTCTCCAAGACCAGGCGGCGGCGCTGCACTGCGCCATCCTCGGCGCCCCCCGAGTCCGCGGCGCATTGCCCGGCTGGCTTGAACCGCGAGGCGATCGGGGGCGTCTGCCGCGCGAGCGACGTGGCCCGCAGCCTCTACGCGCAGGAGATCGATCAGCCCATCAAGGTCGGCATCGCCGCCGACAACAAGTCGCGGTGCGACGTCGAGGCGGGCGAGGTTGACCTCAGGAAGAGCGTCGTCGACGCTGGATGAACGCCGCCCAACGATGCCGCTTCGACCTGGAAACAATGGGGTGGCGCCTAGCAGCGGGGGGCTCCGCGCGCGCTCATCCTGGCGCGCCTGAACCCAAAGCAGACCGCGCCTCTGGCGCCAGGGCGAACGAGTGGAGGAAGTTTGCGCAGAAGCACCTCCAGGACCGCGACGTCATCCCCCACGCTGACGGCGCCCGCGCCCACAAGCTCAAGGTTCCTGGGGCGATTCGCGGCCGCGTGGTTCACGTAAAGCAGAAGCCGAAGGACAGGGGCGGGAAGCCAGTCAAGCGCAACGGTAAGATCGCGTGGATCCTCCCGAAGCACGCCAAGGCGTTCAAACGCAACGCCCCACGCCACGGCGCTCAAACGCAACATCCCAATAACGAAAAGGACGTTGAAGTGCAGGGGGGGGGGGGGGGGGGGGGGGGGGGGGGGGGGGGGGGGGGGGGGGGCGCTGGCGCGCTCTTGCGCAGCTACCTCAAGTGCAGGCCCACCGCAGTCGGCAGCGCGTCTTGCGCCGCCGCGTGCGGTCTTCTCAGGGGCCCACTGGCGTCGAGCAGGCGGTGCCTGGCCCAAGACGGGGGAGATGCTGAAACATCTGAACAAATGGGCGCGCCCTCTGGGAGCGCATCGGTTCCGCCCGCGGGCGGGCGGCGACCCAGACAGCACCGTCGCGGGGCGGTGGCGTCTGTGCTGTCAGCTGAAAAGGGGCCGCTGTCGCGCGCCATTTGCCTGCGCTGGCGCAGGCTTCGGCAGTGCAATATACGCGCCAGGGGGGAGTGCGATCGGTTTTGGGAGCATCGAGCACAGTAGCGTCATCGACCTCCGCCGCCGCCTTTCGCGACCCCAGAGGTCGCAGACTTGCTAACAGTAGGAAGGCGACGTCCTCCGGCCTAATGAAGCTGCATGGACGTCTTCCGGCCTAATGTTGAAGGTCTTATACATGTATGTATATATATATATGTATACATATATATATATACTACGTATACTTGTATATATGTTGTACATACAACATGTGAAATACATACATTCATATGCATATATGGGTTTGTCGTTTTGGGTTGGTTTGGTTTGTTGGATGATTGTCTGGTTTGTTGGTTGGTCGGTTGGTTTGTTGGTTGTTCGTTCGTTTTTTGTGTTGGTTGTTTGGTTGGTTGGTTGCTGAGTTGGAAGTTCGTTGGTCGGTTGTTTGTCTGGTTGGTTGGTTGCTCGGCAGGCTGCGTTGATGCGTGGCTTGTGTGTTTCATTTGCGTTGGCGGTGGTTGTTGGATTGTGCGAATGGTGGTCGTTGGTTGGTTGTTTGTTGTTGGTCGTTGTGCTTCTCACCGCCGCGCGGTGATTGGTGTGCTTCTCACCGCCGCGCGGTGATTTTCTCACCGCCGCGCGGTGATTGGTGGTGGGTTGTCGTTGCGCGGGTCGTGGGCGGTTGCTGGCAGGCCACCGCTGCTGGTCGCCGCCCGTCGGCGTCGCCGTCGTTGCCGTCGTCGCCCCGCCGTCGTCCGCCGTCGCGCCGCTTCCCCGCCGCCGTCGTCGCCTAGGCTGTTGGCCGCCGCCGTTGCCGTCCCTTCCCTCGCCGCCCGCCGTCGCCGCCCGCCGTCGCCGCCCGCCGTCGCCGCCCGCCGTCGCCGCCCGCCGTCGCCGCCCGCCGTCGCCGCGTCGCCTTTCCGTCGGCGCTGGCCGCTGCCGTCGTCGCTTCGCCGTTGGCCGTGTCGTCCGTCGCCGTTCCCCTCGCGCCCCCCCGTCGCCGCGTCGCCCCCCCGTCGGCGGCGCCAGGGGCGCCCCGCGCCCAGGCGCCAACAACGTCGATGACATCGACTGCGCCTCGGGTAGGGACGGGGGGGGGCAGGAGGGCACGACCAGCAGGGGCGTCTAAGGGGGCAAACCAAAAAGGGGAAGGAGAACCACCCAACGCAGAGCCAAAATCGCTTGAGCCAAAATAGCTACGGCGGAGAAGGCGGCTAGGAGAAGTAGCGGGAGGAGGACGCGCGAGGGCGGGCGAGAGTCCAGCGCGGAGGACAAGGGAGAAGAGGAACATGAGCAATGGCTGAGCCGCAGGCGCGGGCCGCAGCCCGCCACCAGGGCTTGAGGGAGACGCGCGCCACGGCTGCGGAGGTCGAGGTCGTAAGCTTGGGCTTAGGCCCAGGCTTACGAGCTCAACAATGGCCACGGAGGGGGATCGGGGAGAGAGGGGGGGGAAACGACAGTCCAGCGGCGGCAGCACGCGCGCGAGGAAGGAGGAGGAGGAGGAGGAGGAGGAAGAGGAGGAATGAGAAAGAAGAGGAAGAAGATGAGAACGAGGAGGAGGGGGAGGAGGAGGAGAGGAGGAGAGAAGAAAGAGGGGGGGATGAGAGGACGTGGAAGAAGGAAAAGGACAAGGGGAGGCAGGATGGAGGGCGGTGGCAGGAAGGAAGGAGGAGGGAGGATGGGGGAAGGGAGGAGGGAGGAGCAGGAGGAGGGGGACGTCCGAGGAGGTTGAGGAGGAGGAGGAGGAGGAGGAGTGGAAGGAGGAGAAGGAGGAAGGGGAGGAGGAGGGGCAGGGGAGGAGAAGGGAGGAGGAGGAAGAGAAGGAGGAGGAGGAGGAGGAGGAGGAGGAGGAAGAGGAGGAGGAGGAGGAGGAGGAGGAGGAGGTCGAGGAAGGGGAGGGATTGCGAGGAGGAGGAGGAGGAGGCGCCTTCCGTCTCCCACCCTGTCCTCCTCCTCCCGACCCTTCTCATCCTCATCCACCTGCTCGTCATTATCATGGGCATCGTCATCGCCGTCATGTTCCTCCGCCTCCTCCTTAGTTTCCTCTCATCCCGTGTTTCTCCCCTCCTGTTATTCCCCGTTTCTCTCATCAACCCTCCCCTCCTCCTCCTCACCATCCTCACCATCATCATAACCGTCACCGCCATCATCACAACCATCCTCCTGACACTCCTCATCATCAGCATGACCACCACCCCAATCATGTTGATCCTCACATCGCCCTCGACATCGTCATTTCCCTCACCCTCTTCATTGACCTCGTCCTCACTCTCCGTCCAACTCCCCCGCCTCATCCCTTGCCTCCCGACCCTGCCCCCCTGATCATCCTTCTCCTCCTCCTCCTCCTCCTCCTCGTCCTCATCCTCATCCTTCTCCTTCTCCTCCTCCTCCTCCTCCTCCTCCTCCCCCTCCTCCTCCTTCTCCTTCTCCCTCCATCCCTCCTCCCACCTCCCCTTTCCTCCTCCCCCGCCTCCTCCTCCTCTTCCTCCTCCTCCTAAGTTTGTTTGGGCGTAGCCCCCTCATCATCCTCTTCCGCCCCTCTCTGTCCTGCTGCTGCTGCTGCTGCTGCTGCTGTCGTTGCTGCTGCTGCTGCTCCTCCCCCTCCTCCTCCTCCTCCTCCTCCCCCATTCCCCTCCTCCCCCTTCGAAGGAGCGAAGGAGCAGCGGCCGCCGTCGCCGTCGATCCTGGGCGGCACCAGCCGCACAACTCTCATCTTTCTTCCTCGTTGTTTGGGCGTGACCCTCCTCATCTTCCCCCCTGAGCAGCGGCCGCCGTCGCCGTCGATCTTGGGCGGCACAGGCCGCACAGCTATCGATAGAGGGGAGGT